ACAGGGTTTCACCATGTTGACCAGGATGGTCTCGATCTCTTGACCTCGTGATCCACCCGCCTCGGCCTCCCAAAGTGCTGGGATTACAGGCTTGAGCCACCGCGCCCGGCCTTTTTTTTTTTTTTTCTTCTTTTTTTGAGACAGGGTCTCACTCTGTGGCCCAGGCTGGAGCACAGTGGTGTGATAACAGCTTACTGTAACCTCTGCCTCTCGGGTTCAAACAGTTCTTATGCCTTAGCCTCGAGGGTGGCTTGGATTACAGGCATGCACCACCTGGCTAATTTTTTTTTTTTGTATTTTTATTAGAGACAGGCCTTAGCCATGTTGGCCAGACTGGTCTTGAACTCCTGGCCTCAAGTGATCCACCCACTCAGATCTCCAAAGCGTAAGGATTACAAGCCACTGTGCCCTGCCATGTTTTCTTGTTTATCATTAATAACTGGTATGAGGCAGAGGAAAGATCTGTTTTCAATGTTATAGAAACTACGTAGTGCATTTAGTATTTTGAATATGTGATTTTCCTTTATTACTATACTGTCTTAAGACTGTGTTTGTCTTTTTTTTTTCTCTTGCCCAGGCTGGAGTGCAGTGACACATAGTGCACTACAGTCTCTTAAGTCTTGGGCTCAAGGGATCCTCCTGGCTAAGCCTCTCAAGTAGCTGGGACTGCAAGCTAACGCTACCATGCCTGGCTAGTTTTTGTATTTTTTTTTTTTTTTTTTTTTTGGTATTTGTAGAGACAATGTCTTACCATGTTTCCAGGGCTGGTCTAAAACTCCTGGGTCTTCCTGCCTTGGACTCCCAAAGCGGTGGGATTATGGGCATGAGCATTCGTGTCCAGCCACGTCATCCCTTTTACTTTTTAATTTTATTTTTAGATGGAGTCTCACTCTGTCTTCCAGGCTGGAGTGCAGTGGCTCGATCTCAGCTCACTGCAACCTCTTTCACCTCCTAGGTTCAAGCAGTTCTCCTGCCCCAGCCTCCCAAATAGCTGGGATTGCAGGCATGCACCACCATTCGTGGCTGATTTGTATATTTAGCAGAGATGGGGTTTCTTCATGTTGGCTAGCTGGTCTCCAACTCCTGACCTCAGGTGATCTGCCCACCTTAGCCTCCCAAAGTGCTAGGATTACAGATGTGGGCCACTGCACCTGGCATGATTTTTTTTTTGGGATGTCTCGCTCTGTCGCGCAGACTGCAGTGGTACCAAAGCTCCACCTCCCCAGTTCAAGCAATTCTGCTTCAGCCTCTGGATTAGCTGGATTAGAAGCATGCACCACCACACCTGGCTAATTTTTGTATTTTCAGTAGAGCCGAGATTTCATCATGTTGGCCAGGCTGGTCTCAAACTCCTGACCTGAAGTGATCTGTCCGCCTTGGCCTCCCAAAGTGCTGGAATTATAGTCATGAGCAACTGTGCCCAGCCTTCCCTTTTAAAGAGAAAGTTTAAGTGTGATTTATTGGAGCTTTCCCTAAATTATTACCATTTCTTTCTTCATTTTTTTTTCTTTTTTTTTGAGACAGTCTTGCTCTGTTGCCCAGGCTGGAGTGCACTGGTGCAATCTTGGCTCAGTGGAACCTCTGCTTCCCGATTTCTCATGCCTCAACCTCCCAAGTGGCTGGCATTACAGGCCTACACCATAACACCTGGCTAATTTTTATATTTTTGGTAGAGATAGGGTTTTACCATGCTGCCCGGGCTGGTCTGGAACTCCTGGCCTCAAGTGAACCATGCTCCTCAGCTTCCCAAAGTTCTGGGATTATAAGTGTAAGCCACCACACCTAGCCTGTTATTACATTTCTTTTTATTTATTTATTTTTTTTTGAGACGGAGTTTCGCTCTTGTTACCCAGGCTGGAGTGCAATGGCGCGATCTCGACTCACCGCAACCTCTGCCTCCTGGGTTCAGGCAATTCTCCTGCCTCAGCCTCCTGAGTAGCTGGGATTACAGGCACGCACCACCATGCCCAGCTAATTTTTCGTATTTTTCATAGAGACGGGGTTTCACCATGTTGACCAGGATGGTCTCGATCTCTTGACCTCGTGATCCACCTGCCTCGGCCTCCCAAAGTGCTGGGATTACAGGCTTGAGCCACCGCGCCCGGCCTACATTTCTTTTTTTTTTTTTTGAGACGGAGTTTCGCTCTTGTTACCCAGGCTGGAGTGCAATGGCGCGATCTCGGCTCACCGCAACCTCCGCCTCCTGGTTTCAGGCAATTCTCCTGCCTCAGCCTCCTGAGTAGCTGCGATTACAGGCACGTGCCACCATGCCCAGCTAATTTTTTATATTTTTAGTAGAGACGGGGTTTCACTATGTTGACCAGGATGGTCTCGATCTCTTGACCTTGTGATCCACCCGCCTCGGCCTCCCAAAGTGCTGGGATTACAGGCGTGAGCCACCGCGCCCGGCCCCGGCCTACATTTCTTAACTGTATTCTTATCCTGACATTTTTGTGGTTTTTACTAACTGAAGAAAATAAAGATTCTTAAATATATTTTCCTCTAACAGAAGTATATATGTGTGCATCCTTATCTTTTCTGGTTTTTATTTTTTTGAGATGGAGTCTCGCCTTATTGCCCAGGCTGGAGTGCAGTAGCACTGTCTCAGCTCACTGCAGCCTCCCAGGTTCAAGCAACTCTCCTGCCTCAGCTTCCTGAGTAGCTGGGATTACAGGCACCTGCCACCATGCCTGGCTAATTTTTTGTATTTTTAGTAGAAATGGGGTTTCACCATGTTGGCCAGGCTGGTTTAGAACTCCTGACCTAGTGATCTGCCTGCCTCGGCCTCCCAAAATGCTGGGATTACAGGAGTGAGCCACCATGCCTAGCTGTGCATCCTTATCTTTAAAAAAAAATTAACAGGCCAGGCGCGGTGGCTCACGCCTATAATCCCAGCACTTTGGGAGGCCGAGGCGGGTGGATCACCAGGTTAAGAGATCAAGACCATCCTGGCCAACATGGTGAAACCCCGTCTCTACTAAAAATAGAAAAATTGGCTGGGCATGGTGGTACACGCCTGTAGTCCCAGCTACTCGGTAGGCTGAGGCAGGAGAATTGCTTGAACCCAAGAAGTGGAGGTTGCAGTGAGCAGAGATGGTGCCATTGCACTCCAGTCTGGGTAACAAGAGCAAAACTCCGTCTCAAAAAAAAAAAAAAAATTTTTTTTACAAAAATAAAAATTGGGGTTTAGAGTTACGAATTCATAGGAATTTTTTTTTTTTTTTTTTGAGATGTAGTCTCGCTCTATCACCAGACCAGAGTGCAGTGGCTTGATCCTGGCTCACCGAAACTTGTTTTCCAGTTTCAAGCAATTCTCCTGCCTCAGCTTACCAAGTAGCTAGGACTACAGGCACGCATCACCACACCCAGCTAAATTTTTTTTGTATTTTTAGTAGAGATGGGGTTTCACTGTGTTGGCCAGGACGGTCTCGATCTCTTGGCCTCGTAATCTGCCTGCCTCGGCCTCCCAAAATGCTGGGATTACAGGCGTGAGCTACTGTACCCAGCCAGGAATTAGTTTTATTTAAACTATCTCTCAGGAATATATAATTTCATTTTTCATTGTCATAGTGCTAAAATCTTTTTGATTCCTCTTCCCCAAAATGTCTCAAATTCGAAGGGTAAATGATTACATAATTTACATATTTTTGGATATACCTCTATTAGGAGTACAGATTCTTTTAGAATTAAGTTTGGTATTTTAGTATTTTTGAGCCCTTTGGCATTCATCAGAATGTGTTTGACTATATTTTTCCATTCTTGCTTTTAAAAGTCATTTAACATCTTTTCACTAGGTTATAAATAAACATTAGTAGTTATTAGTTATATATGATAGTATACTAATTCAGTGATTATATATATGTTCCTTTGTTTTCTAAATAGGGTTATTGGGGTTGTGCCATTGGCAAAGCCAGGCAAGCTGCAAAGACGGAAATAGAGAAGCTTCAGGTAATAATTAATGCTTGAATTTTTGCTACATGGTCATCCTAATGCAGTGAAATTTTATCACCACAGACATTTCTGTCTAAGGCAAGGGTGACCAATCATTTGGCTTCCCTGGGCCACACATAAAATACACCAACACTAATGACAACTGATGAGCTTAAAAAAGAAATCTCATAATGTTTTATGACAGTTTCCAAATTTGAGTTGAGCCCCATGTGGCCAGTGGGCTGGAGAAGGTTGGTCTAAGGATATAACGTGGTTTGATGTTTAGAGTGGAGCTTTACAAAGCTGCTAAGTCACTTAATGGGAAAGCTGATAACATATTATCTGTAGAGTTGTTATACATCCCTTTACGATTTTGAATAACTGCTATAAAGCCCCAATCTAGAAAAACACAGATTTTTATATGATTTCACAAAATTTATGAAACTTATTCATGAATATCTGTGAGCCTTAGTTTGAAGATTTTGGTGTTTAAAAGTTTGAGTTAATGTCATAGAATCAACTGCATTAAGAAGTGATACTCATTTTTTTCCTTTATTATTTATTTATTTGGAACACAGCTTTGATGTCTGGCTGTGCTCCACTGCTTCTTTTAACTTTGCTCCTAGCCAGATAAGGCATAAAGCCTCCAACTCCTGGGGCTCAAACAGTCCTCCTGCCTCAGCCTACCAAGTAGCTGGGACTATAAGCACGCACCACCTCGCCTGGCTAACGTTTTGCTAGTTTTAGGAGATAGGGTCTCACTCTTTCTCCCAGTCTGGTCTCGAACTCCTGGGCTCAAGGAGTCTTCCCAACTTGCCTTACCAAAGTGGTAGGATTACAGGGGTAATCCCCCTAACCTGGTATAAATATTCTAATTTTCAAATTTCCATACCTACCCACTTTTTTCTTACACCTATCCACTTTTTCTTTCACAAGAAATTCAGCTATTAGTTTGAAAAAGTTTTCTTAAAAGCCTGGTTTTCCTTTTAGCCATACATTGATCAACTCAGACTTCATGTATACTGTTTCAGTAGTATTATCAGAAACTTGCTTAAAAAGCAGGCATACAATTTATCAGTGTTTTTGTAAATTACAGTGAGATAAAATTTCACATTCATTTAATGTTAATGCTGTACTAGAAACTTGCTCAAGTAATTTACTCATTCAACTTATTTAAGACCAGCTTCTAGAAAATAGTTGTTGGTGCTTGGCATTTATACAATGCCAAGTTTTAGAACCCCCTATTAAAGTTTAATTTGTTTTGCATTTTAGTAAAGTTGACAAAATGATCTTGGAGATCATTTAGCCCAAGCTCAACTGCAGATTAAACACACTGCATAGGATCACAGTCAGCTGATTCTGAATAGTACCCAGACCTTATGAGTCTTAGACCTATGTTCTTTTCCATTGCAAACTTTCTGGCATAGTGCTAGGTTCCTGTCTTCTACTGTTTTCCTTTTGATTTCATCTCTCCATACTATTATAAGGAAGTTTGAAAATTAAAGTATTTATACCAGGTGAGGGGGTTACCCCTGTAATCCTACCACTTTGGTAGGGCAAGTTGGGCGGAATGCTTGAACCCAGGAGTTCTAGATCAGACTGGGAGAAAGAGTGAGACCCAATCTCCTAAAACTAGCGAAACGTTAGCCAGGGAAGGTCATACGTGCTTGTAGTCCCAGCTACTTGGGAGGCTGAGACGGGGGACTGTTTGAGCCCCAGGAATTGGAGGCTACAGTGAGCTATGATCACACCACTGTACTCCAGCCTGGGTGACAGAGTGACACCTTATCTCAAAAAAGTAAAGAAAATTAGAGTATTTAGAGCAGTTACTTTTTGTCTTTCTGTAGTTAAATCCTAGTAAGGAAGGAGAAAAACAATAAATCCCAGCAGAAAAATCAAGAAAAAAAAATCACTTTGGGGAACACCTAAAGTTTGTGACAAAATTATGCTGTGAATCAGGTGTTGCAAATTATGGCCCACTGCCTGCTTTTGTTAAGTTTTATTGGAACACAGCTACGTTCAGTCCATGGCTGCTTTTAAAATATAGTAGACTGTAACATTTGGAACAGGGAACAGAAACCAGAGCCATGCAGCTAATAAACTCTAAAATATTTACAAGTTGGTGCTTTACAGAATCCATTTACTGCCCCCCCCCCCCGCTTTGTATCATTGTTCTATCCTGTTTTCTTTTGGTGTGTTTATCAAAAAATAGAAACGCACAAACATATGTAAAAATAATTTGCCATTTAAAATGTGCTTTTTCAAGTTAAGATTCAATTAATTCACAAAATACAGAACTTAACCAATAAGGGAAAAAATGTGAAGATCAGTATTCTTTCCCTTCTCATCACCTTCAATTTAACATGAAGAACTGTAAACATCATAAACTTAAACCAATCTAGTTAAGACTTCAGTTATCCACTTATACATCCTCCTCCCCAATGAACTATTTGAAAAAAGCTGCAAGCATAATACTGCATCCCTAAATACTTTAGAGTTATTCTCTTTATACCATTATCGGACCCAAGTGTCATGTTAATAGTTCATAATCAAGCTGCCTGAACAATTTCAACACACTTTTTTAACTGTTTCAAACTGTTGAGGTTCACGTTTTCTTCCTTCTCTTAGTCTTTTTCTTCCCCACAGAAGAAAGACACTATTTCTTTAAGCGTCTATGCCAGCCAGTTGCCTTTAGTTGTACCCAAATAATGGTTTATTTCCTAAAATTAGTATTCTCAAATGTATTTATTTATTGATATGGAGTCTCGCTCTGTCACCCAGGCTGGAGTGCAGTGGTGTGATGCACAATCTTGGCTTACTGCAACCTCCCCTTCCGGGTTCAAGCACTTCTGCCTCAGCCTCCTGTGTAGCTGGGATTACAGGCATGCGCCACCACGCCTGGCTAATTTTTCTGTATTTTCACTAGAGGCGAGGTTTCACCACGTTGGTCAGGCTGGTCTTAAACTCCTGACCTCATGATCCGCCTAACTCGGCCTTCCAATGTGCTGGGATTACAGGCGTGAGCCACTGTGCCTGGACAGTATTCTTAAATTTAAATTCAGTGTAATTTTTTGTCATTGTTCATTCTTCCTGATATGGTTGTGCACGCATATTGAGCATCCAGAGTCAAAATTTAAAAATATATATATAGTTTATATATATAGCAGTTGAATAGCTTAAGTCTAGACTGCTGTATGAGCACCTTTCACTATATTCCATCATTCCCCAACATATCCAGAATATAGGAATGCCTGTCCATTCAGAAATCCATTATGTCTAATAATAAAGTCTTGTACTGGTTACTACCAAAACCTAACACTATACAGACTCCTCAACTAGGCACATAGGGGTATTTTTCTACCTTGATTTCCAAGTGTTCATTGAAAGAACGCTGAATTCTAATTTGGAAAAAACTTTTGGCTTCCCACTTGTGCTTTACACATTTGTCTTTCTTGAAATCCAATCCAATCCAATCTGTTTTATAAGACCCTGCTCAAATCTTGGTTCTTCAAAGCTTTCCCTGGTATTTTGCATTTTTGCTTTGAATAGTTTCACAAAGGGTAATTTCTTACTCCTTCCTTCATCTTTCTGTATCTTGCATACAGTAGATATTGTTTTGCATTTTATTATCCTAAATTGGCTATAAAGAATATCAGATGTCTTTTCCAGTCGTTCAAACTTCAGGTCTGCCTATAGATCATAGATGGCTGTGGATTTTTATAATTTTATCACAAAGTTGTAACTACAGTTTATCCCAGAATATCTTGTTGGCATATGCATTTTTCTTTTTTTGAGATGGGAGTCTCGCTCTGTCGCCCAGGCTGGAGTGCAGTGGTGTCACTCAGGCTCACTGCAATCTCCACCTCTTGGGTTCAAGCAATTCTGGTGCCTGCCACCATGCCTGGCTAATTTTTTTTTTTTTTTTTTTTTTTTTTTTTTTTTTTTTTTTTTTTTTTTTTTTTTTTGAGACGAAGTCTCACTCTTGTTGCCCAGGCTGGAGTGCAATGGTGCAATCTCAGCTCACTGCATCCCCCGCCTCCCAGGTTCAAGCGAGACTCCTGCCTCAGCCTCCAAGTAGTTGGGATTACAGGAGCCTGCCATCACTCCCGGCTGATTTTTGTATTTTCAGTAGAGAGGAGGTTTCACCATGTTGGCTAGCCTGGTCTTGAACTCCTGACCTCAGGTGATCCGCCCGCTTTGGCCTCCCAAAATGCTGGGATTATAGGCGTGAACCACCATGCCTGGGCTAGCGTATAAACTTCAAACATTAAAATATGAATCAGGAAACTTGGGTTCTAATCTTTTTTGGACTTTATTTTCCTTGGTTTTATATCTGAGCATAAAAGTGAAAATAGTTACACAAGTGGAAAATGTTCTTCTGACAATATACATAATATTTTCTATAGATGAAAGAAATGACCTGCCGTGATATTGTTAAAGAAGTTGCAAAAATGTAAGTTGAAATTTTTCTTACCATCCACAAAAATATTTCACTTGACCTTTGTGCATCAATCCTAAGAGGCTGTTTTCCTGGAAAATAACAATAGTGTATAATTTTTAGAAGGTAAATTTAACATTCTAAGAAGCCTCACGAAGGAGGAAAAGGTTTTGAAGCAAAATTGTTTAGTAATGAATAGGATGGGAAAAATAGCTTTTGACAAAATAAACTCCTGTTACAGGTTAAGGACATATAATGTACTTTTAGGGGCTTCATTTGTTAGCTGTCAACTTCTCAAATATCTTATCTCCTAATAATAGTAATGTTAGATTGCCTCGAAGAATGCTTATAAACTTTATAGGTTTACAACTAATTATTTCCATACATGATTCATGAAGCTGGCTCATTTATATAATCTGCTGTTTATTTGGGAAAGATATCTTTAACTTTTTTAGTTTTATTATAAAAGTTCTTTTAACAAGGTAAGAGCAGTATTGTAAGACATTTTGAAAACCAGCTTAAGAAAGCCTGAATAGTTTATTACAGGTACATACAGTAGAATACTATTAATATGTAACAGCTGTTTGAACAGTATGCAGTTAAAAAGTCAATTAACCTGGGTGATGTTTCAAAATCTGTGATTCTTCTAGATCAAGGAGTGCAGACATTTGGTATTACAAGAAAGATTCCAATAAAATACATTTTGTAGGCCAGCTTTTTAGATTCCAGTTATATTCAGAGAATTCGTAACATTTCTAACTATTCTAGGTTAGAACTACACAAACAAGGTCTTGTCAGTCAGCTCTCTGTACAATAGTGTCTCAGGTTTTTATGTCTAACAGTACATGGAAGAAAAAATTCCAATGGGCTCTATTGTATAATAATAAACATACTATTTACATGGCACTCACAGTCTCTC